TTGCTTATGACAAAACGAACTTCTAATAGGCGAATTAATTTTCCAACCGAAATTCAAACATCTTTTCAATCCACCGAAACCATAGCCTTACTTTTGTACAACATCACATTTTGTAAAACCATATTACAAAATCACGTTTTTGTCCAAGTTACAAAAGATAACTTCTCTATTTTTCTGTTATATTTGCCTTATGATATGAAAAACTACCCCAAACACAATTTCAAACATGCTAATAACAAATTATTGCAAATGTATATTTGGTGAGGGTAAACACAATTATGAACATCAATATGTATGTTTGGTGAACTCATATTTAAAAGTAAATAAATAAAAAAACTTTTTATATTTCACATTTTTTCCACATAAATGCGAGAAAAGTAAAGATGTCAAAATGGACCGAAGCCCATGGACCGGTCCACAGAGCTCGGAAAAATTTAGGTCTCGGGCCTTAATTTTTTAGCCTATTTTATTTCGGGCCTTTTTTAGCCCGGCCCGAAAAAGCTCTAAACAATATGGGCCATCCTGTATGGGTTATGGGTAGCCCGCAACCCGACAAAAAACTTTAAAATTTTTAATATAATTAGACCATTATAAAAATCCAGCAAATAAAAAAACTGAATTGGGCCAAGCCAACCTTTCTATAATATCTATCCCACACCACACTACATTAACCCAATTGTAACTTGAGCCTAAAAAAGACATAACTATTTCATTGGGTTGTTATTTACTTGTTTCTTTTTTCATTTTCACTTTTGTGTTACGAACAAACATCATAGGGTTGTCATTTTGTCGTTTTTCTACTATGCGTTTCGTCTGCTCTATTGTGTATGTGGTTTGCATTGTGTGATTTGATTCTTGCTTATTCTCAGCTTTTGTGTTGCGTTTCATCTACATTATATGTTGATTTGAGTCTTCTTAGCTTCGCCCATCATAGGCCATATTTTGTGAATCTTCTCAGATTCGATTCTTCTCAACTCCGATTCTTCTTTTCCGTTAAGTGTTTTTCGTAACTTCGATTCTTCTTTGTTGTTTTTGATTTTGTGACTATGTGTTTGTGAATGTGATTTCGTGATTCTGTGTTTGTAACTCTATTTTAGATTTTGATCTCGTGACTTTGTTTTTGATTTCGTAACTTTGATTCTTCTTAAATTAGAAATGTAGTGAGAAATATTGTAACTTCGATTTTGAGAGAAAAAGTTATAACTTCAATTTTGTGATAAAAATATGTTGTTATATGGCAGAAATGTTGTTAGTGAATATGCTGTGATTAGTGACTTTGTTAGTGATCAGTAAAAATTTTGTTCGTGAATATGTTGTTACTGAATATGCTGTTAGTGAATATGTTGTTACTGAATATGTTGTTATACGACAAAAAATGTTAGTGCTTAGTGAATATGATGTTATATGGCAAAAATGTTAGTGATTAGTGAATATGCTATTATATGTTATTATATAAATTATGTGTTGATATGAATCTGATGCTTGCTGTTGTTATTGTGTTTATTTACATGTAGGGATTATAATTTGTGTCTACTATAATCATGGAAATTAGTAGTGTTAGTGAGGTTAATGCTAGGCAAGTTAGGGCAACTCCACCTGTACTACTATTTGCTGCGTCTGATGTAATTGATCTTGATGACATTGAGATTAACAAAGAAGAGTCTTCTGAACCAACTACCAAAAAACAAAAGGCCCTTACATCTGAAGTATGGAAACATTTTTTTAAAGGTTAGGGTTGTAGATGATAAAGAGAAATGTAAATGTAAGGGTTGTGGAAAATTCATGAGTTAGGCTGCAACTAATGGAACTTCTCATTTAACGTGTCATATTAACAAAGATAGGCTTATCCTAAAATTTTATGATGTGAGTGATATGATACCTGATGCCGAAGGAAGATTGAGAAAGACAAATTTTGATCCTAAGGTTAATTGTGATATCTTAGCTAAAATTGTAATTACATATAATGTACCTTTTAATTTTGTTGAATACAAGGTTTTTAGGAAATATAAAAAAATTTGAATTATGATTCTATCTTTGTTACTAGAAATACTTCTTTTAGCGATGTTATGAAATCTTACGGGGAAGAGAAACGAAAGCTTAAGTCATAGTTGACTCAAATTAAGGGGAGAGTTTATTTGACTTTTGATTGTTGGACTACATGCACTAATGAAGGTTACATTTCTTTAACTGCTCGCTATATTGAAGTGAATTAGAAGTTATAAAAAAAGATTTTTAGCATTTGCTCACATGACATCCCCACACACTAGGCGAGAATTAGCCTTTAAGATGTTGGAAATGTTATGTAATTGAGGTATAAAGAAGAAATTTTTTCCATCGCTTTGGACAATGCCTCTGCAAATGACAATATGTAAAGATTCTTGAAAGAACACTTATAATTATCAAATAGCTTGCTATTTAAGGGAAATTTATTTCATATTCGTTGTTGCACGTACATTTTGAATCTCATTGTTCAAGATGGATTGAAGGTAGTTGGTGATACTTTGTATAAAGTTAGACAAAGTGTGGCTTATGTAAAGGTAACTGAAAGTAGAACACTACAATTTCATGAATGTGTTAGTAATGTTGGTGAGATTAATACAACAATTTGATTAAGATTTGATTGTGTTACTAAATGGAACTTTACTTTTATAATGCTCAAGAGTGTGATTAATTATCGTCGTGCCTTTTATAGCTCGAGTTTGCGAGATTCAAATTTCAAGTGTTGTCCTTCAAGTGAAGAGTGGACAAGATCAGAAATAATGTGTGAACTTTTGAAGTTATTCAACAACATTATTAACTTGATCTCTAGATCTTTTTATCCTACTTCTAATTTTTAATTTAGGGAAATATGGAAGATATAATGTCTTTTGAATTCTTATTTGATAAGTGAGGATTCTTTGATTTAAGACATGGCTAAAAAAATGAGGAAATATTTGATAAGTATTAGAGTGAGTATAATATTATCTTGGCTTTTAGTGCTATTCTTGATCCAACAAAAAAATTTAACTTTTTGAGTTTTCCATATAAAAAATTGACATGAGCACTAGTGAAGACAAGTTCAAAAAGATTAAGCGTGAGTTGTATGAGCTTTATGCAGAATGTGTCACATATAGAATTTCTTCTAATCCTAACTTTTCACAAGTCTTACCTACTTTTGGAGGAGGAAAGGAATCTTTGGTATCCTCGTTATATATTTGTGAAGTAAGTACAAATTATTATTGTTATTTCTTTTGATTGGTTTAATTTTAAAATTTAATTTTTTTAATCATTTTTTGTATGTTTAATTTGTAGGAATTTGAAGAGCATGAAAGTCAAGCAAGTAATAATATTGGAAAATCTGAACTTGATTCTTATTTATATGAACAAAGGTTGCCTCCTCGATTAGTTTTGATATCTTGACTTATTGGAAGGAATAAATCGTAGATGTCCCAATCATGCAAGAATGACTTATGATATATTGAGCATTTTAATAACCACGATGACATCTTAATCTCCTTTTAGTACTGACTCTTGAGCTTTAAACAAGTATAGAAGTTCAATGAAAAAGGAATAAGTTCAAGCTCTCATGTGCACACGAAGTTGATTATATGGTTTTGAAGGTAAACTTGTTAACTTTTCTCTAAGTGTATCATAGATTCATAATGTTGCATGTTATTCACTCATGTTATAAATAATTTTGTAACGACTACTTTTCATGTTTTGTAGAATTTAATAATTACATTAATACTAATCAATATGATGAAATTGAACAAGCATCCAACACATTTAAACATGTGAATCTCGTTGAAGAAAACTCAAGTGATGTTGCAAGTCAAGTTAGGACTATTTGATTTTGTGTTATCTTAAAACAAAATTATTTTATGTTATCATGAATATTTGAACATGTAATTTGTAATTTAAAATTTGTTGAACAAATTATTTAAATTTTGTGCTATTTTTGATAATCTGTGATGCATTTTGGATAATTTATTATGCACTTTAAATAGTTTGAATTAAGTTAATGTGTTATTTTAGATTTTAATTGTTAATTTAGATGGATTATTTAGAATTTTAGATATGAAATTTAATATATAATATAGGTATTATTGCATTGTATAGTTACTTAAAAAAATAAAAAGATAATTTAATTTTTTTTATAGAAATGAACTCGTTTAAGGTCGGATAGCCCACAATCCAGACATAATTGAACTTGTATAACAAAATTAAAATTCATTTAAATTTAAATTTTTTGAATCCGATTATAAAAAATTTGAGCTCTGCATGAGCCGATCTATTTAAGACTGGATAACCTATTTTACCTGCAGAAAAACATGACATGGTCATATTTTTCATGTTTTTTTCACATGAATATGTGAATAGAATGATATCATATTAAAAAATATTCTAAGAAATTGTGAATGTAAAATTAAAAAATAAAAAGAAAAAACTAATATTAATATTTTTATGAGAAATTAATATTAGCATAAAAATAATAAATAAATGATCCCATTTTAAGAAGGTAAATAAATAATATGAAAAACAAATAAAATAAAATAATATTCATCATGATTACCCTATTCTACTATCTATTGTAGTGCTATGGTATGATGCTTGCCGTTGCCACCACCATCATATCCATGCTTAATCGCATGATTCAAAAACACAAATTATTCATTAACCTATTTCCTCACTCCAATCCTCTTCTCTACCACTCCTCCAACCCAAGAGAAGAACAAGCCCAAAACCAAGGTTTGTGTAAAACACCAACCAAGATTTTGCGTTTTTTTTCTTTTTCCTTCTTTATTAAACTTTTCTGAGATTACTAAACTAGTAGTACGAGGAAGACCGAGACCAAACTTCCAAGTAATATAACAACAACAGTGGAAACAAACAAGCGAGAGACACAAACACCAACGTTAATTCCAGATCTCAATTTTGGATCCCATCTTGTTCCTCTTCATTCCCAAGTTTGAATTTTTATCCCCTTTTCTGAAATTCAAATTTTTTTGGGGTCAAAGTTTATGGCTTCTTCTGGAAATCCAAATCCAAATCAACAACAACAAACCCAATTTGATTTGCAGAAACTTTTCAAAGGACCAACCAATCAAAATCCTCTACCACCAATTTCATCAAATTTGAACTCTTCTCCTTCATTCCCTTCACCTTCACTTTCTACACCCCCTCCTTCTTCTTACCCTACCCCCTCTTCTTCATACCCTCCACCAACTGGTACTTACCCTTATCATCTTCCTCACTATCTTCCTTTTCCAAATCTTCATCATCAACAACAAGAAAACCCTCTTATCCTTCAACACAACCCTCAAATGCATGCACCTCAAAGACCTATTTTTCAACCCCCTTCTTCTTCTCCTTCCTCACCGCACCTTCCTGCATCTCCGAATCCGAATACTACCTCTGGTGCACGCTTAATGGCTTTGTTGGGCACACAAAACCCTCCTTCAAATCAAGATTCTTCTTCAGCAGCATCGCCATCGGTTTCTGAGTTTTCAGTGTCAGCTAACCCTGCTTCAGGTTCGAACATGGCAAGTCCTCAGTCTACACCTACGAGGATGCTGAGCACGAAGCTTCCTAAGGGTAGGCATTTGAAAGGAGAGAGTGTTGTTTATGACATTGATGTCAAGTTGCCTGGGGAAACGCAGCCTCAGCTTGAAGTTACTCCGATTACTAAGTATGCATCTGATCCCGGCCTTGTGCTTGGGAGACAAATTGCGGTTAATAGATCTTACATATGCTATGGACTCAAGCTTGGTGCCATTCGGGTTCTTAATATCAATACTGCATTGAGATATTTGCTTCGAGGTCATACTCAGGTCAGATGTGTTGCTTTTGGACTAGTATCCATTGATTTGATATTAAGTTTTGATGCTTTTCTAGTGATTGGAGTTCAGTTGTTAATGTATTGAATGGTTTTTTCTGCATACAAACTGTTAATTTGTGTCCTGTTTCGATAAACAATTTAATTAAGCACTTATAATATAAACGCATATCATATACATGCTTATGTATAAGTTATTTCTTAAATGGAAGATAAAGTAAAGTTAAACAATTTTTATACAAGTTATAAGCTATTTTCATAAGCTATCCTGAAGTGTTTATGACAATAAGTTAAAAACAACTTATGGGGAGTTGTTATAAGCTTTTTTCACAAGCTCTCCCAAACAATCTCACAAGTGCTTATCTCAATAGATAAACTCAAATAAGTCAATCTAAACATGTACTTTGTCAATTATGACTTCTTGGTGCTAGGACTGATTGATGCACCTTGGTTAGCGAGGGTAGCAACTAGCAACTTTTTTTCCTGTTTATTTTATGAACTTAAGTTTCATATGATGATGCTATTTTGCTTTTGCATTAACCACTGCTTATATAAAAACTGCTTTTGTTGTCTGTTGCCACCACAAGACAGAAAAAAAGCATGTGGTTTTCTCATTTCCTCACAAACTTGTAAAAAATTTGCTGCTAGGAAATGTGTGAGACTATATGTCATACTTCTCTAATTTTTATCTGTATTTTGTCTGTTGCCTTTCTCTTGATTTATCATGCCAAGTTGAGATAATTGTTTGCAGAGAGGCAAGATATAGTATAAACACATGATCACATGGGTCTTTTTTCGATATCTGATTTTTAAAATATTTTTGAGCGATTATGTGTTCATTTCAAAGCTTGCTTTACCTCTTATGACGATTTTGCTGTTGCTACACACATTTGAGATGGTATTTCCTCCTTTTATTCTATTTCCAATTCATATACCCTCCAATTTATGCATGGCGATTTTTTTATGTAGAGAGTATCTGACATGGCTTTCTTTGCTGAGGATGTTCACCTGTTAGCCAGGTAAATATCTTTTTTTGTTTCAGTTTGTCACGGGTTTTTATTTGCTATAATACATTTATTAATTAATTTTTCCTTTGCATTTGCTCGTACTTTCACAGTGCTAGCACTGATGGGAGAATTTTTATATGGAAAATCAATGAGGGCCCTGATGAGGAAGACAAGCCTCAAATTACTGGAAGAGTTATCCTAGCCATTCAGATATTAGGAGAGAGCGAGTCAGTCCATCCACGAGTATGCTGGCATCCCCATAAACAAGTAATAAGGATTTTATAATTTTGTTCCTGAAGTTCGTTATCTTTCAATTAGTTTTAGATCCTTAAAGTTTTAGCTTATAATTGTAATTGACCGACAGGAGATTTTAATTGTTGCTATTGGAAACCGGATCCTCAAAATCGACACTATGAAAGCTGGAAAGGGTGAAACTTTTACTGCAGAGGAGCCTCTCAAGTGTAACATTGATAAGTTGATTGATGGCGTGCACCTTATCGGTAAGCATGACGACAATATCACTGAGTTGTCAATGTGCCAATGGATGAAGAGTCGGTTAGCTTCAGCATCAGCAGATGGCACGGTATGCATTTCACTCTCCTGCCTTACTCCTTTCCTTTCCTTATTTTCTATATCCAACCTTTTTGCTAGTGGAATCTGTGAAAAGATTAATATATTCTCGACCCTGCATTTATGTGGTTCATGTTATTGTATTTCTATGAAGCGCCGGCACTGACATATTGACACTGATAATTATTTGAGAAAAATGATTGTAATCAGATGTGTCGGTGTCTGACAATGGACACACTTACAATGTGATTTATTGGTGATGCTGCATAGATTGTATTACATTGCGGAGTTGGCTATTTGAAGAAAAGTCTTATTATCATTTGTTCTTTTATTTCACACTTGTAATTAATTTGTTTTTGTCAACAGGTGAAGATATGGGAAGAACGTAAGGCAACACCACTTGCTGTTTTAAGACCACATAATGGTAAACCTGTTAATTCTGTGACGTTCTTGACTGCTCCTCACCGCCCAGATCATATCGTCCTTGTCACAGCGGTATATGTTTCTTGTTTGCAGCTTGACCGTTAACATCAGTCATATATTCTCAAAGTGGTATCCAGATTCATCTTTCATCTTCCATAAACTAATTATTTTTGTATGTATTTTCTTTACTACACAGGGTCCGCTAAATCAGGAAGTGAAGATATGGGTATCTGGTTACGAGGAAGGCTGGTTATTGCCTAGTGATTCTGAATCATGGATTTGTGTTCAGACTTTGGATATAAGAAGTTCTTCTGTAGCCAACCCTGAGGATGCATTCTTCAATCAAGTTGTAGCGTTGCCTCGCGCTGGTTTGGTTCTGCTAGCAAATGCCAAGAAAAACACAATATATGCTGTGCATATAGAGTATGGACCCAATCCAACTGCTACTCGCATGGATTATATTTCCGAGTTCATAGTCACAATGCCTATACTAAGCCTTATCGGAACTAGTGATAGCTTACCAGATGGAGACCATCTTGTGCAGATATATTGTGTCCAAACACAAGCTATTCAACAGTACGGACTCAATTTATCACAATGTTTGCCTCCACCACTAGACAATGTTGAACTTGAAAAAACAGAACCAAGTGTATCTCGTGCTTGGGATGGATCTACTGATCTGGGAACTGTTAACACACCGCAAGTTCATTCGAGCACTTCTGAAAATGTCATGAATTTGTCTTCGGATGTTCATGGTTTGCCCGAAGCTTTGGTAACAGATACTGAGATCAAGCCAAATGATTTACCTTCTCATAATGGTTTCGAACATGTCCACGCTGCTCCACCTCCACTTCCTCCGAGTCCAAGATTGTCTCGCAGGTTATCTGGTTCCAAAAGCTCTTCTAATATTTTAGGGTCTGGCGCAAGAAGTGCTGGTGATCACGGCAATGAGCCAACAAATATTGATTCTTCTGCAGAACAAAGGGTAGAGTCTGGAAAAGATAATGTGGCTGATGTGCCTGAATCGAGTGACAATTTACAAGAAAGTGACAGAGTTGTACAAAATGATGTTTCTGCGGTTTCTGACAGCCCTACAATATTTAAACACCCAACCCATTTGGTAACTCCATCTGAGATATTCTCTAAATCTGCTTTATCTTCTGCTAATTCTAATACCTCTCAAGGTACGAATGTTCAAGACGTGGCTGCACATGGTGATGCGGAAAAGTTTGAAGTAGAGGTTAAAGTAGTAGGTGAGAGTGAGACAGGTTCTAATCAAGAAAACACCGAGTATGACAGAGACATAGGCTCACTCCCCGATGTTGCTGAGAAGAAAGAGAAGCTATTCCATTCTCAGGCTTCTGATCTTGGCATTCGGATGGCCAGAGACACCTATAATATCAAGGGAGTTCATCAAGTTGATAGAGACACCTATAATGCCGAGGGAGATCTTCAAGCTGATAATAATAATACTATTGAAGCACCTGATAGAGACAACTATAATATCGAGGGAGTTCTTCAAGACACAAATAAGGAGGCACCTGCAAACATCAAGGAATCCGAAGCTGTGGCTGCAACTTCGCAGCCTCCAGCACCTTCCACAAAAGGTAAACGACAGAAAGGTAAAGGCTCACAAGTGTCTGGTACATCTTCCGCTTCTGCTAGCCCTTTTAACTCAGCGGATTCAGCTAATGATCAAGGTGGAAACACAGGAGGCTCTTCCACGGAGTCTGCTTTACCACAATTATCTTCTATGCAGGAGATGATGGGCCAGGTAACCAATTTACATTTGAACTTTGCTTTCATATCATTAATCGGTTTTGACTTGTACTTACTCATGTAACACAATGATCTATTTTTCAGTTTTTTTTTGTCTTGATCTCCTTTATTTCTTGTTATACAGCTATTAAGCATGCAAAAAGAAATGCAAAAGCAGATGAATGTGATGGTTTCGGCCCCAGTTACTAAAGAAGGCAAAAGATTAGAAGGTTCGTTGGGTAGAAGCATGGAGAAGGTAGTCAAGGCTAACGCCGATGCTTTGTGGGCTCGCATACAAGAAGAAAATGCAAAGCAAGAGAAACTAGAGCGTGACCATGTGCAGCAAATAACTAATATGATCTCCAATTACATAAACAAGGATATGTCATCTCTATTGGAGAAAATCATCAAGAAGGAAATATCTTCAATTGGAACAACCATTACTCGTTCACTCAGTCAAAATATAGAGAAAGCAATAACAACAGCTGTTACAGAGTCATTCCAGGTTTGTATTAATTTCGGCTTTTGAAAATGCTACTTTTCGAATAGAGTTACATTAATCTGGTAAAATGTTTATTTTTGTCTGCACGGTGACATATTTCAAACTGAAGTTTTATATCAGAAATATTTGCATGCAGGTTATGGTTTACAAACTAGTATTATTTGTTTGTCTATCTTATATTATGAATCGCCTCTTCAATGTTTTCCTCGCTACTGAAATGATGGTTTTGTTTCAATATAACTTACCAAAGTTATGCTATAAATTCTGCAGAAGGGGGTGGGAGACAAAGCAATGAATCAACTAGAAAAGTCAGTTAGTTCAAAACTTGAAGCTACAGTGGCTAGGCAGATACAAGTACAATTTCAAACTACTGGCAAGCAGGCTCTTCAGGTAAACAGCAAGTAGTCAAATATGATGTTCTTCTCTTTTTTCATCATCTTAATTGTAAACCTTTTGTAAATAGCCCTACACCAATAGGAAATCCTTCATTTGTTTGCAATATTTCTGTTTTATTAATTTGACTATGTTTTTACACCACTATTCTAGGAGTTCTTTCTTGCTCAAAGAAAGGATCCTAACATATTGGTTGCTCACGGAAATGAGCTACTACAAGTTCTAGCTTTTTCATTGACACCTGATAGAAGTATCATTCCTTTTAGTTTTTCCAGTCATTTGACATTTTCTTTTGTAATTAGTTACATATTTAATCTCTAGCTTTGCTAGCTCTGTTTGTAAGCAGTTTTAGACAGTACCCAACTTCAACTGGATCACAAGCTTTCGTAATTGTTTGAATGAGCTTGAAGTTTTGTTGCTGCTGCTTTGTTTTATTTTTGCAAGCTGTTTTAGATTGTAAGGTCATTATTAGGTTTAAACTTAGATTTTTTTTGTATCTAGGTAGTTTACATCATGCTTCCTAAAGATGTAGTTATTTGAAACTCATTTCACAGAAGCTCTATTTTTAGGTGGTCCTGAAATTCTTAATTAATAGTCATCTATCATCTTTGCAAATCATATAATAGTGCAATTCAAATTAGTTTTTATATTTTGGATGTATTATTTTTATGTTTGCTTTCACGATGTTCCGAAAATTTGGTTCCTTTGTAAGCGACTTTCCTTAATCATTTCTTTTGGTGTTTGTATTTTGTAGGAAGCACTTAGGACTAGTGTTGAAGCTACATTAGTTCCTGCTTTTGAGAAGTCTTGCAAAGCTATGTTTGAGCAAATTGATGGCACATTTCAGAACGGACTTTTGAACCACACAACTGCTATTCAACAGCAGTATGATTCTACTCATTCTCCGCTAGCCATCACTTTGAGGGTATGTTGAAGATGCTTGTTTTGAAAAAGATCTATTCTGATTTATTTTCTTTTCCAACATAACTATTATATAAACGAGTAAAAGATCTTTTGCAAGCAAATCATTTTTAGAACTGTAAGTTTTAGTTCATTTCTCAACATGTGGTGTCATGATTTCACAGGAAACAATTAACTCAGCATCATCGATCACTCAAACTTTGAGCGGGCAATTGGCTGATGGCCAACGGAAACTGTTGGAAATGGCAGCTAACTCCAAAGTGGCTGCTGATCCTTTTGTAACACAAATCAACAACGGCTTGCATGAGATGGTATGTCTCTGTCATTCCCCTTACCTCCCTATTTTCAATTGGCGTTTTTGATATTTTGTACTGTGAAATGACTTATGTTTCAACAGAATGAGGATCCTACCAAAGAACTATCAAGGTTAGTAAATGAGCGAAAATTCGAGGAAGCATTTACTGGAGCCCTTCATAGAAGCGACGTTTCAATAGTTTCTTGGTTATGTTCTCAGGTATGAGTATGACAATTATACATGTAGTTGACTTGAGTAACAAACAACTCATTATTTCATTCTTTTGGCAACGGTGCTTATGAAGAACTAGTCAATGTAGCTAACATTCAATTTCAAACCTCTTCATAAACAGGCTGGTTTATCCGGTATCTTGACGATGACACCAATGCCATTAAGCCAAGGAGTACTTTTATCTCTTCTACAACAGTTATCCTGTGACATCAATACGGACACACCGAGAAAATTGCAATGGATGACAGATGTGGCTGCTGCTATAGACCCAGAAGATACAAGGATTGCAGCGCACGTGCGGCCGATATTGGATCAAGTGTACCGTACACTAGGCCATCATCGTAGTTTACCAACTAATTCCCCTTCAGAAGCTAGCACAATCCGCCTTCTTATGCATGTGATAAACTCAGTGTTGTTGAGCTGTAAACCCGTGCAGAGAATGTCTTGAGTATCTACATTTGAAGAAAACATCGCATTAGTTTGTAAATTGTGTGACATCCACATTTGAAGAAAACATCGCATTAGTTTCAAAACTGCAATTGGAATATAAACTGAATCAAGGGGTGGTAGCAGTTGAATCAGGTGGAATGGCTGCTACAAGTACTTAACTAGCAGATACGGAAGGATAAGCCTTTGTGCTTCTTGTGATACTACAAAGTTCTTACCACGACCGCGTTCAGGGAAATGTTGGAATCGTTATAGATTCGTTGTATACAATGTTATTGTGTAATGAGAACATGAGGTCGGTTGCTTCAGAAGCAGTGTCGTTTTGCTAGGATGTTGTGTGTGGGTTGGCTCTCTGGTGTTTTGAATGTCTTAAATTTTGCAGTCATTAATAATGAAACGAGAGCCTCCCAGTTATGTGAACTTTTTTACGCTTAATCCGCAGGATCGAAAGGATGTAGTTTTGCTAGAGATTTATGTTCAGTTTGGAATAGTTTATGGATTTTCTCTTGAAAAAACAAGTTTGTGATGTTTATGCACAAGTTAAATTAAGAGTTTCTGAAAAAATGGGATGCAGAAGTTGTTTTCAGTTCATTGAAAAGCTATTGTTATAAAATCTTATAATTATTTTAATACTTTTTATCCATTTGTCTTTTTGAGATGTTTATGTAACTTGGCTGTCAATAATGATGAACTCAGGTATCTCTAGTCTGTATCAAGAGACTAAATGAGTTCTATTAAATAATGTGACCATTTGGAAGTGTTTTCACAAGTCTTGGTGTTAGGAAAAAGCTAATTTTGATAAAATTATGGTCATAAATAATAGCTTATGATAGATTGTAAGCCATTATAGAAAGAAAAAGTACAGAAATCACAACATAATCTATCAAAAGCGATGATAAAACCATTTTAGTACATCAAAAACCGAATCAAATAAGATGTTTTTAAAACATTGATTTAGTGTCGCAATACAAACACATGGCCATCATCACCATTTTCATATAAGGATGTAAATAAAGCCTTTGATTAATTGACTTTTATGGTCATTCCTTATAACCAAATATAGAACCAAAAAAAGAGGAACTAACACCTATCTCACATTTGATTGCTGGTGATGATGAAAGGTGAAAGAAAATAAAAAATAAAAAGAAAGTGTACGTGTGCATGCATGTGTGTGCTGTTACATTTGTATTGAGTTGTGTGATACGATTTTTCCTTAAAAAAAGCTTAGCGTGTGTACAAAGCTCACCATTTCTTATAACAATTATCTTTTCAACTTCTATACACAACACAAAAACATTCATATTCAATCTGTGATTTATCGTTCACACAAAAAAGATGGAACAAGAGAAGAATAAAAGAGCAAGAGAATATGATGATGTTGAAGGCAAGATTTGGTTTTCTTTTGAGAATAACAACAACAAGAAATCCAAAAAGAGAGACAAGAATAATGAAGTGGAAGAGAAAGGGTATCTAGCATTTGGAGTGTTTGATTTTCCTTGGTTGAAAGATGGTGTGATATGCAAATCAGAAGAATGTTTCATGGATTTTGAAGACAGTTTCTTGTCATTGTTACAAAACCAAGACAATGGTTGTTTCAAAGTTTCTTCTGGTTTTGAATTCTTTGATGAATGTGATGGTTTATGTGAAGATCCTAAGACATCAATGGAAGATGTTTGGCTTCCATTTGAGATTAATGGATTGGAGCTTCAAGATGAGGATTTGGATTGTTTTTGGACTTCTTTGCTTAATGATTAAGCCCTTTTCATATAAACATTAGGGTAATGATTTTTTTAAATAATTTTTATAAATGTTATTAGTACTATCTAGCTATAATCTTCATGATAGATGAATATATCAACATTGTATTATTGTATTAGAGTTATGTTATTTGAATACAAAAACAACAATTTTCGACAACAATTATGATCGGTTAAGTTTAGTGGATGATTAATAGATATAATATAACATCGCAAATCCTCACTGATTAGTCTATTGATAAAAACTTGAGATCTAAGAGTATGGTTTTCTTAAAATCTCGTGTTCGATGATGTATTGATGTTTTGATGCATAAAAGTTGTTAACATTAATATGGATATTTTTATTTGATTGGAAATCACATAGATTTACGATTTGGTTTGTTACTTAACCCTAAACCCTTTGTAAACATGTGTATTTTGGTGTGATATGATTAATAGATGCAGTTAAATTAATTAAAACCATTCATTGAAATGCAGTTATGATGATATATTTACCTAGAAAGCTTTTTTCCTTCAATGAAATGATTACTTATGGTGATATTAATGTGATATTTTTTTAAGTCAAACAAAATATATAAAAAAAGTTTTTGTTATGATCATAATTCTTTGAAGAGTTTGGGTCACTTGCGTATGCTTGAAGGAAAGTGGTTACTTAATTTTTTTATTTTATTTTTGCAATAGTATTTCTCTCAGCCAAATAGCCACTTTTTTTGTCAACGCAAATAGCCACTTATATGCTTGAAGATTACACTAATTTTTAGTGGTTCAATAATCATTATTGGTTCGGTGGTGTGAGTTTAGGTTCATGCATAATACTATGGAAGGTTTACCACATGGTACCATCAATTTTTGTTTTTGTTTTGATTCTAATCCATGCTTATGTTTTTTTCTTCTAAGTTTAATAATCAATGTTAAAGATATGTCAACATAGCTTTAAAAGTATTTAAACTATAAAAATATTTTACACTACTTATGAGGAGTAAGACTAGTATGGACACAAATACAAATCTTTTAGATTTAAGTAACTCTTGCTCACTTATGAGTTAAGTCCTTTTTATCTATGTTGCTTTTCTATGTTAGCTATATCATTTATTTTATATAGGGCGCACCTTTGAAAATATGAAAATATGAAAATATTTTTAAGGTAAATTTGGAGAGGCTTTTTTGAACGCACAAAATATTATATTTTGATAAAATTTAGTTTGGAGATGCATCTCTGAATATACTCTTAAAGTAAATTCGGAATTGCGTCTCCGAAATCGCCACACGTCCTTATAAAATCATACAACACCCAATTTAAATGAAAAATAATTTCAAAGATATATATTTGAACTATTTTGGTGTAAATTCGAATACACATCTCTGAATTATTGCTTGTGTCTTTTTTTCAGAACAAATTTAATAACATTGTGGTATTTTCCATCCAAACTAATTTTAATTCGAATAGCATTGTCGTTATTTGTTTTAACGATTAATAAAAACGATTTTGTAGAACTAAGTAATGTGTTTATAAAATCGAATATTATAGAAACGAATATCAGAAATATTATAATAGTACAACAATTGTTCTCCAAGTCGATGAAAAATAGACAAAATACAATAAAAAGTATAGTCTACTGAGTAATGCTTAATCCTAATCCCCTGGCTCCTCCACGATGCCCCTGAATTCCACTCGTGAATGCACTCTAAGTCGATGAAATATTTGAGGTAAGCCACATCCACATAGTTTTCACTTCTGTCCATAAACATGGACGTGCCAACCAAGAATATAAAAAAACACCTCATAGCACACTCCCTATGGTAGGTAACCCAGAAATCATCGGCGTCCGGGTGTTAGGATATCTCTAAGATTTTTTCATACAATTCCTCTAACCAAGCAAACTTGGCATGTGCATCCCTAGTGCTTTTACACTGCTCAAAGGCTTCATCATATTCAGCTCTAAAAAAAGTCACCATCATATCTATGGCATCAATCCTACTGATCTTAAAATGATTGTTGCTACGCAAAAAAAATAGAGTCGCCATTGAACTTTATTTGTCCCAAAGGGAAGGGAAAACATTGAGAAAACCCCAAAAGGAATGATAAGATGGTCTTGCAACCAAGACACAGGTTCATAAGTCGGTTATGCAAGGGGAAGGTATTACCACCCCTCACACATGTTGTACTCAACGAGATCCACTTTATTTGTTTGTTTCTAAGAGTGTGTATATCTAAAGCTATAACTTGCTAAGAATGCATGAATGAATTATTGGGAAAAATAAAAAGTTTTTATTATTGAGTTCGTCTGGATTTTGTAACCCAGTGCCTACCTATCCTAAAGGGAATCAGAACTCCGTATTTCTTCTCGAAAAATCTTGTTTGTTAGGTGTTTTTTATGGACAATGTTAACGTTCACGCTCTAACATTAAGCATAGTCTGTATTACGGTAGAACATAAATAACATGCCCTTTCTGAAAAGATTTTTGATCTTACTGGTTATTATAACCTGTAGTGGACCAATATCTTCGTCTGTAATGCTGGAATCACGGAGGAGGGGGTGTACCTGCAAGGTACTTTAGTGCTCAAGTAAGTAAGAGTGCAAAGAGATACTCGAGAGAAGATATGGGTTAGAGAATTGAATATTGAATACTTGTCCCTCACAAATGTGAGGATTTATATAATGTCCCCGACGCTTGGCCATTGGTTCCTATTTTTGGGCCTAGATATTAGGCAAAAAAATAGGTAACTTCTAGGATTTCTGCGTGAAAGAAGGAACGCGTATCTCATGCTCGTTATCCTGGGAAGAGGTGCCTGAAACTAGTTGTTATCATGGACAGAGATGTCAGAAACTAGCCGTTATCACGAGCAGAGATGTGGTTGAGGGAAGTCATGGTCTCGTTGAGCCTGGGGTCAACCAACCATGCGATCACAACTGTCGGGAAGAAAGGAAACATGCCTTTTACTAGCCCTAGGTTACTTTGGCCAATGCTTTTGGGACATTCTAGAGCAGGAGTGGATTGGGCCGTGCTTAGTCGCTGGCTCAGTCCAGAACAGGAGCCCTCCAAGTCATTTCTTTTGGACATATAAGTAATGACTTAAAACCAGCTCATGCCAGTCGATCAAAAGATGAGGAAGCTTCGTGCCAGGATCCTGGTCAGTTTGAACCAATGGGGAGCATTTAGTTTTTGTTCACGATTTTCCCAACTGTTCGTAGACCCATTGCGTGGTTTCCCTGAGGTCGTGTTCATGGTGAAAGGCCTGTCCTTTGTGTCCGACACTCGGGGAGATGAAGATGAAGAATGGAAAAACACAATAAGGGGGGGGGGGGGTTGAATTGGGTTTTTTAAAATTAAGGTAGTATACACGTTGGTTATCCTAGTTCGTTTGAACTCAAACTACTTCACTCCACCCGCCAAGGTGATTTCGCCTCTCTCAAACGAGGTCTTAATCCACTAATCAAAACTTAATTACACACACAATGACTACCGTCAAAGTCTTCTTCAGTCTAAACCACAACTCGATTTTCTCGAGGTAATACAAAATAAATCAAATAAAAGTGTGTACAAAGATGTTTCTAAATAACTATATCACAAAAGTGATGTATACACAATTGTAAAGCACAAGATAGAACTAGGTAATAATATTTTTCTCTTTTAGTGCGCAGTAGTGTTGTGTTTGATTTCTTCTTCAAGTCTTTTTTATATAGGCGATACATGAGAGACAAGAGAAGTTGTTTTTGGAAGGTTGATAAAGTGTTGTTAATGCACTTTCCAAAAATATAGATCTTGTCTTGGTTAAGTCGTTATATTTTTATTTGTAATGAATGCATTGTAACGGATCAGAGCATTGCTTCCTTGGGATCATATCAGAAGAAGAATATTACCATTGAGACTTTAGATCCTCATAGTTTCTTGATATCTGTTGTACCCTAAAATTTGCCCTCGCATTTTTTCTCAAGAAATCTCAGCTTCAGGCATTTCCTGATTTTTTAAACTGGCTTAAGAATCGGCCAAACAGACTTTTCTCGTCAGTCAGACACAATTAGGGTTTTACTGATTTGCATGACTCTAGAATAGTTCACACAGTTGGCTCAGGGTTTTGGTTGACTTTGACTCAATTTTGATCAGGCGAACGTTATTTGGCATTTAATCAGGAATTAAGGTTTTTGTGGGCATATTCTCAGAAGGATTTAAATTCCACAGCACTTTGCAAGTTATTCCGAGATTCGGGTTGAATTCGCATTGTTTTGATTTAATCAGTAAAAGAGACAGTTGGTTTGAATTCACGTTGGTTTGTTTGAGCCAGTCAAAAGAAATATGCAGTATTGGATTTACAGTGCTTGGTAAGAAATCAGTAAGAAAGGAATGCGTCTGATCAGTTATTGCGTTTGACTGTGCGTTGCTTTAGATGATGGAGGCGCCAAGTTCATTTATTTTGATCAACGAAGAATCAATGTTTAGTTGATTATTTATTATTCTAAGAATTAAATATCTGGAATTTAATTTTCATTTGTTTTAATTTAAGGAACTATAAATAATAAGTAAATAATTGAGAAGGGATAAAAAGAATTAAATGGATCAATAGAATTTTTATTTCATATTTAAACATTTGTTACAATTATTATTTAGATACAAGTATGCATTTACGAAGTATTTAAAATAATAATAGTTTACAATGATTAAATTGAAAATAAAACTATCCTATTTTTCTAAATATTTTCTAAGTCCCTAATTCTTCATTCTTCACTTTGCTCCTCTCCATCCAAATATTCATCTGCAAAAAGAAAAGGAGAAAAGTCAGTGACTGATAAATAAATAAAGACAGATAAAAGAAATTCATCATTAAGGGCCACTGATTGGGATCAGTTAACCCTCTCTTCAAATCACGGGATTTCTCCCGGTTCACAAAGAGGGAATAATTTTATTTAATCATGAATGCAAAGTTGAGAAAAAAATGCAAAGTGTCAAACTACATAAATTCAAAAATCTCAAGCAAACTGCACAGTTCAAATCAAACTG